GCCTCATGACAGCTTAAGCCTCATGAGTTGAATTATGATACGCATGACTTGGAGTTAGCAGCCGTAGTGCATGCATTGAAGACTTGGATACATTTTCTGATTGGAAACCATTGCGAGGTGTACACGGATCATAAGAGTTTGAAGTATATTTTCACACAGAAGGAGTTGAACCTCAGACAAAGGAGATGGTTGGAGCTCATCAAGGATTATGATATGAAATTGCATTATCACCCCGGAAAGGCTAACATAGTAGCTGACGCATTAAGCCGTAAGAGCCATGTCAACACCCTAATGACGGGAGATTTACCAAGGGAGTTAGCCGAAAATCTTCGAGAGCTATGTTTGGAAATAGTTCCAAGAGGCCATGTAGCAGCATTGGAGATTCAGTCTACCTTGATGGATAAGATCAGAGAAGCTCAAAAGACTGATAAGGAGATTGCCGCTATAAAGGAGAAAATGAGCAAAGGAAAGGCTAAGGGATTTTGTGAGGATGAGCACGATACCTTATGGTTTGAAGACCGTGTCTATGTACCAAATGATTCGAAGATCAGGAAGTTAATTTTACAAGAGGCCCATGATTCACCGTATTTGATTCACCCAGGAAATACCAAGATGTATTTGGATTTGAAGGATATTTTTTGGTGGACCGGAATGAAGAAGGATATTGCAGAATATGTACCGGTTTGTGATGTATGTCAGAGAGTAAAGGCAGAGCATCAGAAGCCAGCAGGATTGCTACAGCCATTGTCGATACCCGAATGGAAGTGGGATAAGTTAGGCATGGATTTTATTACCGGATTACCCAGAACACGTTCAGGCTATGAATCGATATGAGTTGTAGTCGATCGTTTAACAAAGGTAGCTCATTTCATTCCAGTGAAGACTACCTATACCAGTGCAAAGTTGGCAAAGATATACATGACTAGAATTGTTTATCTGCATGGAGTTCCAAGGAGCATAGTATCAGATAGAGGAACCCAATTTACCTCAAAGTTCTGGAATCAGTTGCATGAAACTTTGGGAACCAGACTGGAGTTTAGCACAGCTTTCCACCCGCACACTGATGGACAAACTGAGAGAGTTAATCAGATTTTGGAGGATATGCTAAGAGCTTGTGCGCTAGATTACGGATCCAGCTGGGACGAGAATTTGCCATATGCAGAGTTCTCTTACAACAATAGCTATCAATCCAGTTTGAAGATGGCCCCTTTCGAAGCCTTGTACGGAAGGAGGTGCAGGACCCCATTATCGTGGGATGAAGTTGGAGACCGCCAGTTGTTTGGACCAGATCTGATTAAGGAGTCAAAACAGAAAGTGAAATTGATTCGTGATAGGCTCAAGGTAGCCCAGTCCAGACAGAAGAGCTATGCAGATTCTAAACGCAAGGAGACAGTTTACGAAGTTGGAGACATATTTATCTTCGAGTATCACCACTTCAAGGAGTTAAGCGCTTTGGAGTTAAGGGAAAGTTAGCGCCACATTTTGTAGGCACATACAAGGTTTTGGAGCGTATGGGAGAAGTTTCCTATAAATTGGAATTGCCCGAAGGATTGTCAGGAATTCATGACGTGTTCCACGTTTCCCAGTTGAAGAAGTGCCACGCAGAGATGGCTGATATACCGCTGAGAGACACAGTGCCGCTGGAAGCAATTCAATTGGACAGTGATTTGACCTATGAGGAGAAACCAGTTAAGATTCTAGAGTATGCCAGTCGAGTCACCCGCAGCAAGGTTATCAAGTTTTGCAAGGTTCAGTGGAGCCACCACACGGAGGACAAAGCCACCTGGGAACGAGAGGAAGAATTGTTGAAGGACCACCCTCACCTATTTTCTAGCCAACCCGAATCTTGAGGGCGAGATTCATCTTAAGGGGGTAGGTTTGTAACATCCCAAATTTTCAATTTGGAATGTTATACACTAGATCATCATTGCATATCATATTTATTGCATTTTGGTTGATCCTAGAAATTTTACGCAACTCAAGGACCCTCGGAGGGAGTTGGGGATTTCGTTATTTTCATAATTGAGTTGTCTCAAATTTTGAAAATAGGATCATTTGATTTTATTTATTTTATCTTCGATTATTTCTATTACAAAAATATGAGAGAGGGAATAAAATGACTTTCCCAAAACAAAGAAATATTGAGGATTTAATAAAAAAATCAATTAAGATTTTATTTGAATTTAGGAAAAAATTGCGTTTTTCAAAATTGCATTTAAGCCCCAAATAAATGTTCATCCTGTGCGGCTTGATTTTAGAAGCGGGGGAAAATTTATTTCTGGATTTTTGGAGTCCGTTTAGTATTTCTTTTGTTTTTTCTGAGCGTAACTATTTAAAAAAACGCAACCGACCTAACGGGTCGTGTTCAACCCAGACACTAGGCCTGTTCGGCTTTATAAGCCGGGGAGGCCCAGCCGGACCCCCCCCTCAAACCCTAGCCGCCCTAGCCCCGCGTCGCCGCCGCCTTTGCCGCCGCACCTCGCCGCCGCTTGGCGCGCCGCCGCGCCGCCCCTCGCCGCTGCGCCACGCCACCATCGGAGCACCGCCGCCGCCCGCCGGATTCGTCGCCGGAGGTAGACCTCGCCGCCACCGGGTTTTTTTTCCGAAAAACCGTTCGGTTTTTCCGACGGTTTTGTTCGTTTTTTTAGTTACGGTTTTTTAAATAGATCGGTTTTTCCGGTTTATTTAATTAGCGAGCGTTCGTCCGTTCGTTCGTTTTAACGAACTTCGTTGTTTTTCTTTTTCTCGGATTAAATCCGCGATTTTTCTGATCGTGATTTCTGATCCGATTTTCCTTTTAGTCTAACTTTTCGCTCGTTTATCGGAATCAGGCGATTCAAGCGCCTGGAGTTTCGTCTCGAAACCCTCTTTCCGTTTAACCAACTCAAACAGGTTTTTGCCACTGTAAAAATTGCCCTAGATCCAGAATAGTAAACGAAGCCTGTTTCTTTTGCCGTTTGTCTTTCGTTGCTTTGTTCGGTTTGATTCTTTTTGCCAACCGAAGTTATTAAGTTGAACCTTCTGGTTAGACCTCTTATTTGAGTTTTACCTGTGCATTAGTTGAGTACTTATTGTATGCTTGTTTGTTTCGATAGAGTACCCGGAGTGCGCCGCTTGCTACTTCGAATCGCTAGGTTTCCCGGATCATCAGCAAGGCAAGTAACACTTTGATCATGCTTTCCCACTACCCAGTTTTATTCCATTAGATCAATCATCACACATTGCATGATTAGGATCTAATTAAATTGTGGGTTTGGGAAGTAGATGAGGTAGAACCTATTACCTGTTTATTATCAAACCTTTGGGAGTTACTTCTACGTTTGCTTATTATGCCATACTATGCTAGTAGATGTGGATTGGGTGAGTGTATCCATGACAGATGTGAGATTGTTAATTAATGGTTTATTTAAGGTGGCAACTTAAACACACATCTGGGTGGATTGAGGCACCTGAGTATTCCAGCGATTGCCTATTTTTCTTTTGGACCGCCACCCAGGCTCAAATGGATCATGATATTATTCATGCTAGAAACTTCCGTGTGCAGCCACAAGCTATTATGGGCTCTAGTATAGTTGATTAAGTTGTGCAAACTCTTACAGTGGTAGACTGCAGATGTAGGGGAAAGTAGGTGTAACGGTCTACCCGATCGTAAGGTGCTAGCGCTTCTGAAAGACTATGTCTCGGTCATCCGTCTTCTCAAACACCATGCAGTGCGAGAAACCAAACGAAGGCGATCGAGTCTTGTGAGGAAAAGTGCGCAAACCTCTGCAGAGTGTATAAACTAATCATGATTAGCCGTGTCCTCGGTTATGGACAACTTGAGTATCTAGTACCTGGATTATCATGTGAATCTCAACATGTTACTCTAAAATTAATTTTGTTGGGTTTTGATTAATAATGATGCCTAATTGGGATTGAGAATGCTGTCAACCATTCTCAATGTTTAACAACTACCATGATAGTTAAATAAAATTTATTCCTTTGCAGTAGGGAAAAATTGGCTTTACGCAATACTGTAACCATAGAGCTTTCCATCAGCCAAATATGCATGTAGAATAGCCTGTTTCATTTCATTACTCTCTATGTGTTACTTTGCCAGCATATTCCATGTGCTGACCCGTTTCGGACTGCAACGTTAATGTTGCAGACTTTTCAGACAACGATTAAGGAGTTTTTAGGTCGTGGTTCTATACTCAATGATGCCGTTGGAGTTGATAGACTCACTTATCTTCCAAGCCTTCCGCTGTTATCGTTATTAGATGGTCTTAAGCCATATTTATTGTAATAAGTTCTTTTTTGAGATTTTCGATGTAATAAGTGTGTGATTGCTACTCTATTATAAATCCTTCAAGTACTATGTGGTGTCAGCATTACTGATACAGGGATGACACCTGAGCACAGAGATTGGACCGTTTGAGGTCTGGTCGCTACACTTATGCTTTGAGAGCAGTCCACTTTTTTCTTGAACATCAGTACAAACACAAACGCTCATATACACGCCCATACACTCACCCTATGAACGCACACACGCACACCCTGCCCCTATGGGCACCTTCGAAAGACTAAGATGCGGATACCATAGTCCCTCTAAACATCCAATTACAGGTTGGTTCGCGTTTTGAGAGCAGTCCACTTGTATAATGGGGTTGTGGCTTGGTTGCCCTTAAGGGCCAAGCATGTAACATCTTTTATCTGGGTTTTCGTTAATTAATCGGACAATTATGTTCTTCTTAATATTAATTTACAAGGCAAAAATTTTGCATCCGTTTTGAAAAAATAGCAATACAATACAAAACACTCAATGGCCACACGCCCAAGATTTACACATGCACACAGAAACTGGTGGATTTCACCTTGATGCAAACAATCGGACGGGTCGTGGTGGCCCTGATTTACATGCCGCATCCGGGCCTTGGGGTTTCAGTTCCAAGGTGTCAAAGATTGGTCAACCTACACGGGCGCACCGTGGATATTACAGTACTATCCGAGAAGAAGACGCGCTACTGTACGAGCTCGGGTATGAGCCTCAGCAGGAAGGAAATCTCCCGCTGCGAGAAGTTGGGCGTCTTCTTCGCCGGCGCAGCCCTATCCGGCCCCAACCTCCCGGCCTGGCCTTCTTCGGGGCTGGGCTCCGGCGCCACCACGGCCGCGAACTCCGAGACGGCCTCGGCGATCTCCTGCACCAGGTCGACGATCACGCCGTCCACCCCCATCAGGTGCTGCATGTACACCGCCTCCGGCACGTTGCTGCACCAACATCGGATTCAGTATCTTCTACAGTCGCAGATAGACAAACTAGTCCGGTGCAAACTTGCGGGTCGCTGCAGGCTTACTTGAGCTGCCCGTAGGTGAGCAGGGAGAGGTCGGACTCCTTGACCCTGGCTACCGCCGACGGGTGCCGGAACACCGCCCTGGCCTCCGACACGATGCCCTGCAGGCCGCCGGCGCGGCACAGCCTGACAGCCTCCTCCAGCGAGTTCCGCCGTGCGTCGGCGTGGAGCTGCGTCCCTCCAACCGTCAGGAAGTAAACCTGGTAAATCAGATTTGCACGGTAGCTTTGGAAGGTCAGTCACTGTTCGCGGCCCGAAAATGCTATGCTATCTGCAGGGAATTTTGATTATCTTGTACAGTAAGTTCACTTACAGGGTACTGGTCTTGCAGTCTTCGCATAAGCTGCGCGGCGTCGGGCTGGAAGCTGGAGAAAATGACGGGCCTGTCCTTGGCATGCTCAAAAACAACCTGGACGAAACAAACAGACCACGGTTGTTAATCGACATGTATCTTCAGACCATTACAGAAAGAAAAGATGGTCATTATGCTGCTAGCTTCTTGCCTTTAGGATGGCTTGCAGGACGCCGGCGAGCTCCTCCTCCTGGTACACGAGATCATCGTCAAACTTGAGCTCGACATTGAAGCCGACGCGCGTGTCGACGCCCTCGAACGCCTCCCGCAGCGTGCAGAGGGGTTCGTCGGAACGCACGTCCCACCTCAGTGTCCTGCCGTCCTTGAGCTTCCGCAGCAATGGCCTCCCGACCTGAATCAAGATGCTAGTCAGATGTCACGGTTGTCCAGAGGGTGCGTGTCGTCTGTCATATGGTTGCAGTTCTCGGTTGTTCTGTTCTGTGTACCTTGTCCTGGTCCTTCTGAGGGCCGTAGGAGAGGAACTCGACCAGTGGAAGATCAGTGACGCGCTTCCCGCAGATTTTGCCCTGAAATTACGGTCATTGTTTCGTGAGACCTCGCAGTCGCAGCATCGATCCGCCATCGGGATGGTGCATGCTTCTTTTCTTCTTCTTATTTTGTGCACTGAAAAGTTGGTCGGAAGTTGGAAACTTACATCTTGTTCGGTGAAGATAAAATTGTCGTGGAAGACGACCGGGCAGCCATCTTTGGTCACCTGAAGAACAAAATGGAATGTGACGTTTTTAAAAACCGTCACACTTCACGCTTTTGCAGTTGCGGGAGAAAATGAAACAACGCATATATGCATGTGAGATGTGACGCGTCTATAGCTTGCCAGGTCTGTTTGAGCGCAGGAATATCATAAAATAAGTAGTAATAAAAAAAGCCCTGGAGAGTTTTAAAAAAAAAAAGCCCTGGAGAGAAGGAGAAAAAAAAAGCTCTCGAGCTCCTCACTAGGCTAAAAATAATCCGGATGGAATGGAGTCTCTTCTGTGCTGGACCGAACTAATAAAGGAAATACACGGTCAAATTAGGAGCCCGATCTTGTTTCAAAAAAAAATTAGGAGCCTGACAAATGTTATCCATGGCCAGATACTACGTCGCCTAATTTGTAGTGCTGTACACGCGCGTCGCCAGCACCTGGAGACAGCCTGCCCCGGCCCGTGCCACCCACCGCCCAAGGAGAGGACCGAGCTGCACATGGCACCGCTCACCAACGCCAGCTCGATCGAGACTTCCGTCGGGGTTCGGCTAATGCCTAATCCTAATGGGTACGTGGTTGCGGCTGTAATAGTTTACCTGGACGTCGAACTCGACGTAGCCGACGCCGGCGACGCGCGCGGCGTCGTTGAAGGACCGCACCGAGTTCTCCTTCACCTCGCGCAGCCGCTCGTCCGGGGACGCCAGCGCGTTCATCCCCTTCCCACGGTGGCCGACCACCACCAGCGGCGGCCTCCCCCCGGCAGCCGGCGCCGCCATCATCGACTCGGCGCCTGCATGGCAACACGGACAAGATATACAATGAGGCTATACATCCACCGACGACGCACGCATGCATTTCAGTCACGCGCACGCTGACGCACGTACCGTTGATGCACGCGGAGGCGAGGTCGAGCTGCGCGGCGATGTCCGGCACGGCGGCGGCGGCGGCGGCGCGCACGGCTTTGGGCTGGGCCATGTGTGTACGCCGACAAAGCCGAAGAAAGAGCGTGCTTCGGCTGGCCGCGGCGACGTGCGACCGCTGACTCGCGCCAACCGGGGCTGATCGAGGCGGTTAAACGACGAATACTTATGGACCCTTGCGTGGCCGTGGATGTGGGGGAGGCGTCGGGGAGGACGCAGGCTATATATACACACGCTTTGCCTGTTCCTTCGTGTCTAACGTGCAATAAACGTGAGAATAGAAAGGGGCGGAGGTTAAGCGATAAGATTTACACATCTCCGGGACAGGTCGCGTTAGGTTTGGATATTGGACGCGAATCGGAGCTGACGGGGACGAGCATCGGAGGTTTATGCCGCAGGATATCCTCTCCCAGTCCGAGTCCCAGGCGACTGGAGGCATGCAGGGCGCGCGAAGCTTCTCCCGCTGACGCCGGCTTTCCTTGCAGTTTTCTAGATGGCGGCAGAATGGACGGCCGAGGGTACCGGACGCGCCCATCGGTGGTTTTGAGTGCAAGATATGTCATTCGTACGTAAACCCGGAGCAAAGTGTTACTTTCACGAAGGCGCTTTATACCATTACCCTTTTCAAGTGAGGCCAATACCGAATCAACTTGTAGTTGGTTGGTTACGAGGACAGTTGTATCCCTGATTATCGGTGTATAAATCCTAAATTTGACATCGGTGCTCGCATTTTTCTGATTTATTTCAGTTTTTTTGGCAATGTGCGTTTAGTGAAAGGAGGCGTTCTCGTCGACTACGAAGACGTTTGTGATACTTGGTTGATCTCAAGATGATCTGTCGGCTCCGTCTCTTAAAGATGCTCATATGATAGGGTTTGCATGCGTGCATTTCATAGGGTGTGTCCGTGCGTTGCAACCAGAACATAAATATTCTGCTATTAGGCTGGTCCTGTGATTTACCAACCTATATTATTTTGATTGTGTAAAGGAAATATAATTATAAATCTGGTAAAAACTTGTCAGGTAACCACTTTATTGGCTTACCAAAAAATATATTTGCTAAGTAATTACAATGTGGGGTAGTTGAGGTGGTTTTCATGGAAAACCGGTGGATAAAACTGTATATGGGAGGAAAAAAATTATCCGGTTTATACATAAGCTAGGAGAGAAAACATTTTCCTTTATCCAGTTTATTTTTTTGACTGCTTTGGTCCCCTTTCAGGCATGACACGTGTCTCTTGTGGGCCAGCCGTACGCTTAGCCAGTCAGCTTTGTCTTCTCCCCCAACGAATCTCATCCACATCTTCCCCCCTCATGCCTTCTTCTTCACATGCTTTCCATTGTCCCCACCATCATGCTCCTCTAGCCTCCCTTCGTCGGCAACCATCCCGCTAACAGAGTTCTACAACCCAACACTACTAATGTTGCAAAAACATGTGTCTGCATCAGCATCATTGTTGCAAAGGAGAGAGGGTGGTATCAACCACCGCCTCTACACACCCTTCACTGCAACGTCCACTGCGCTACATGTCGGAGGGTAACACAACAACCACTACGACATCCCTCGCCACGCAACATCATTGTTGTTGTAAACGGGGAGGGATGACGCCGAGCAGCGCAATTGTGCGCGGTGCCGATGCCACAAATTGGTCGAAAGTTGCGGCTAGGGTCGATGTTGCAGCCGCATGTCTCCTAGTCGCCAATGTTGTGAGGATGACATGCTATCGAAGTCACAAAAGGTGATGTTGCAGAGGCCCGGTGCTGCTGCATGGCCAATGCGACTGCTACAAGGAAGATATGCTTTGATGCCATGGACCGACATGGATCGGCGTGTACGAGTGACTGCCAGGGAGCCAGGGGCAACGGAGCGTGATGTTGTGGTGCTACATCGAGAAGAGGATGAAGTTGTGGTTGTGTTGGTGAGAACGACGTGGAGGACATTGTGTTGATGACCCATCCAATGGCTATGCAGCACGGGATCGAACGGCTGGCACAGAAATCAATCGGTTGACGTTGCTTCTCTTATTATTTTTAAATAGTTTGGAGAGTGGAATGATGCTGACGCAGCGTCTAGTGTGTTAAGAGGATCTCACCTGATAGGGTGTTTTGCGTGAGGGGTTGATGCTGACGCAGCGTCTAGTGTGTTTACATGGTCTCACCTGACGCTTTCTTCAATCCAAAAGAATTGGCGGCCCCTAGGCGCCATCCGGATGCCATGCAGCGAAACAACATCCGCCTAGTCAGCCGTTGCATGCACGTCATCTCAGCCATCCGCTCAAGCTCCCACATCCACGAGCCCATGACTCAGTCGTCGTCTTTCTCTATCTGTGCAACAAACAACTCAACAACATCCCAGCGGCACCAGATCGAAGCTTTGTCGGAGCCTCGCCGGAGTGTCGCCGCCCGGTTTGCAGCATCGGCCTTGCAGCACGGTGGCACCGTCGCAGCACTGCCTCACAACACGTTGCCGGTTGTCGCAGGCTCGCAGCATCGGCTTGAAGCACAGCGGCGCTGTCACAGCACATCGTCGGTCGTCGCGGCACCGCTCGTAGCACGACGTCTAGTCGCAACATCACCGGAGTATCCCGAGCCGTCGTGATGTTTGTTGAGTCGCCGTCGCAGCACTAGTTCGCAACAAGGCGGCTCCATTATAGTATCGTCGGAGCAGCCCGAGCCGCCGTCGCAGCACTAGTTCGCAACATGGTGTCATCGTCTCAAACATCAACATTGCTGCCAAAGCCACCATCACAGCATCCATCGCGCAGTTGAGCCCCGCCGTCGCAACATTGGTTTATGACTCGGCCGTGCCGTTGCAGCAACGCCGGACCAGCCTCACGCCGCCACCGCGACAGTATCCTGGCTACTTTGATGATTATACAATGACATGCTTTGACGACTGCGGTGATGCTACGAGGCATGTTACGACGACCGCGACGATGGCACGATGACATGCTTTGAAACGTGTGTGGTGTGCTTCGACGACCGTGGCAATGCAGTGATGACATGCTTTGACGTCTGCGGTGATGCTACGAGGCATGTTACGACAACCGTGACAATGGCACGACGACATGCTTTGAAACGCCCATGGTGTGCTTTGATAACCGTGGCGATGCAGTGATGCCATGCTTCGATGGCCGTGGTGATGGTACGATGCGTGTTGTGACGGTCGCAACGATCCCATGGTGACATGCTTTGAATACGCGGGATGTGCTTCGACGATTGTGGCGATGCAGTGACGACATGCTTCGATGGCCGCCGTGATGCTATGATGCGTGTTGTGACAGCCGCGACGACGGCATAGTGACATGCTTCGAATACCCGTCGTGTGCTTCGACGACTGATGAATGCTACGACATCATGCTCTGAAGGTCAAGGACATGATGCGGGATCGTGCTTCAGACAATCGTGGCGATGTTGCGATGTCGTGCTTCGACGACCTCGGCGATGCTGTTACGGAGGCCCGACTACTTCAATGGTGTTGAGATGGCATTCTTCGTGATCACGACAGTGTTGCGACGACGACACGGCTGCTTCGACGATGTTGTGACGCCATTCTTCGACGGCCGTGGCGATGTGGCAATAACGGCCGGCCTACCTCTAGTGATGCTGCGATGTCATGCTTCGAAGAGGGCGGCGGCGGCGTTAGGATGCTTCTCTGAGTATTGCTAGAGGGGTGGGGATAAAGAAAAGGAGCCACGATTTTATGTGAAATTGTGGTAGCGCTATATCCAAACAACCTTTACTACATGAGCTTGCTAGTATCAGGTCAAACCAACACCTGTGAAGATGCGGTTTTACAATCCTCGTTTGGTGCTTGCTATGCGCTCCTCTTGAGATTATTTGTGCCATTACATGTATAGGTACATGCAAGCACTACCTGCGAAGTATAAGTGTAAAAAAGGACCTAAGGCTGTCACGGGGACCATCAGCTTCATGCGCGTGGCAAAGAGTAAGATAGATGCACTACCTTCACGTGCCAAACACAGAGGCGCTGCGCCACACGATCGGATGGGATCGGATGGCGCCGGACCCGGCTGGCAATGCCTGAAAATCATCCGACTGTTTGTAAGCATTTTCCAAAAGAATTAGTACTAGTATGTATCTTTCTGCAGAGGGCAATAACACTACGGCTACGGCGACGAATCGGAAAGTCGGTGTGTTGTTTATGAAGCGGATGTGCACAAGCAAATATCAAAGACACCTTTGCCGCCAAGACTGAATCCACAATCGGTTGAAAGTAGATGATGAGCAGTACATTAAAAAAAAGTTCACCCGCAACACCAGTAGCATTTTGCCTTTGCCCTTCCGACGCCTCTTCACGTAATGGAGACCAAAGGGAAACTCGTAATGCCAAATTAGTCATTACGCCGTGGATGATTGGAAACGCTCGTAATGGCTAAGTGTCTCGACAGAAACACACCATTGGTGATTATAAACATCAAAAAGGTGATTACACACTACCGCATGTTGGTCCTAAGGGCATCTCTAACTCCGACTTTTAAACCTCCTGTGACTGTCTGGATTGCGAAAATCATCGAACATAGTCTTGTATCGATGTGCGGTGCGGTCCAGATGTGTTTTCTCCCGTAAAACCGGGGAGGTTTGCTAGAGTCCGGACTCCGGACCAATCACTCGCCCGTTTCTGACCACCTTGACCTACCAAAAATTCTTCCCCCTCCCACGTGATTTTGGTCAGCGCCCGCATTCATGCCCTACCAGAGCAGACGCGATCGCTCACTGATGCCGGTATTTAAGCGGTGCGCCGGCGGAGAGAGCACCGCTCGCGCCGCTTCCTGGTGCAGGCGACTGTCGCGCATTCAAACAACACGACGACCACCCGTCCGTCTGTCTGCCACCCGCATTGATGGCACGCGGTTGCCGAGGCGTCTCCTCAGGCACCACCCCCCGTCCCTCTGCCGCCCACTATTGCTATAAAAGTCAGTGCCCTGACCATAGCCGCAGTCATCCATCTCTGATCCCTCTCTTCCCCACTCCCACCATGGATCCCTCCCCATCAAAGTTCTCTATGACGGGCTGACGTCGGACCAGAAGAAGG